AGAAACGTCAGCAATCCATTACATAACATTTAAAGGGGCATTGGCTCAGTGCTGTCCGGGGTGGGGAAACCTCCAAAAAAACACTTCTTTACTTTGACAATGCTTAAAACTGTTTTAAACCAGCTAAACTGACTTTCAGTAAGAAAATGTTACAAAATTAATTAAAATTTAAAATGTTACAAAAAAAAAGTCTCTAAAATTCTTGACTATTCCACAAAGGTCTCAAACTGCAAGTTGAATTTTCATGCTTTGTATAATTAAAAACAGCTATCAGAACTCATGCTGTTAGTGTAGCTGAAACTTCTGAAGAAGAACTTAAATTTAAAAATATGTTTGGTGCTTGTATTCAAGGAAAAAGTAAGCTGAATATTTAATTATTCACACCACTTTGGGTTAAATTTGTAATTTTTCAATATTCTATAAATAGTTTTACCCTACAGTTTCCCTCTCTTCTTTCCACTGACACATTCCTGAACAAAATAAGTTGTCATGGGCACTTAGCAGGGCTTTAAAGTATGACAAAAGTTCATAGCAGATAATGTTATATTTGCATATCTACAGTTCAGAAAAAAGAGAGACCTAATCTGGCAGTTCTTTGAACAGCAAAGAGAATTTTTGGGACACAAACAAAGTGAGGGGAAATGGGAAGCCATTTGAATGAGATGTCACTGGGAAACATGCAAGGGTAGGAGTAACCAGGATGAAGACTTCCTTGATTCTGAATGAATGACAAATGCAAATTACTTCAGAATCAGAAATAAGGAATCGTATCTTATCACAGATCTGAAGATTGTTTCTTTTCATTACCATAATGGGTATCACATGCCAAGTATTCCTTCAGATCTGGTAGGACTTTCTCAACTGAAAATTGCAAAGCGTATGGTTAAACTTAGTGAAGAGAGGGAAAGACGAGCTAGACCTACATTTTACTCATGTACAGGCATACCTCGTTTTATTGCGCTTCACAGATATTGTGTTTTTTTACAAATTGAGGCAAGACCCTCCACCAGCAAAAAGATTATGACTCGCTGAAGGCTCAGATGATGGTTATCATTTTTTAGCAATAAAGTATTTTTTTTAATTAAGGTATGTACATTGTTTTTTAGACATAATGCTATTGCACACTTAGTAGACTACAGTATAGTGTAAACATAACTTTTATATGCACTGGGAAACCAAAAAATTCATGTGACTCGCTTTATTGTGATATTCGCTTTATTGCGGTGGTCTGGAACCAAACCCGCGATATCTCTGAGGTATGCCTGTAATATGCCATTCAAGATTGCTATTAATTCTGTTTAGACTCTTTTAGTTAAATTTCTTTTTTTTAAGGCTTGAGTGTGAGCCCCCTTCTAGAAAGAGGCTAGCCCACACTAGCCCACAATCTGTTGTTTTAAAGGTGAGTGAAGTTGAACATGGAGCACAGCAGGAACAAAAAAGTGATTCATGATGGCTGGTCAGTTATTCCTAATGATCCTGGTATAGTCCTTTTGTGTATCAATAGGATAGATTTCCCAACCCAGTCACCAGGGAAACTGGGAGTAATCATAACACCTAAAAATGCCTTGCTCTAGAAGCTAACAAAGAAGAAAATTTAAAGTGCACTTTGAGAAGAGTTTTTCTCTGTGACCATGTGGGTAGGGGGCAAAGTGTGAAGAGTTCTACAAGAGCCAAGAAACAAAAGATCATGACTCTTCAAGCTGTTGTGCCTCACTTCATGAACTGTTGGGAAAATAGTGTATCTAATTCTGAAATCTACTGTTAGTAAAGTTGTACAACTTGAGGAATACTTACAAAAACATGAGGCTCTCTTTCCTGTAGTCTCTGTGCAATGGCCTAGTCAAATGCTGTTTACAAGAGCTTAGGCATCTCTGATTTTAGTTGGTCTGTAATGGCTGTGTATGGCCTATAGGCTGGATCATGCCCATAGCAGCTCAGGGAATTTGACACCTTAGCTGGAGCATGCTACCAAGGAGGAATCTCCAAGATCTTATTGCCTGCCATATTCAGTTAATTCTCTGAAGCAGGGGAGGCACCCCCAGGGTTGCAAGCAATGACCCTGGGTAGCAAAAGGTTATCAATCCTTGGTTTGAGATGTAAATTGACCTTGTCTTCTGTCCACCTGGACAACTGTAAAGCATCCCAACTGCCAGGGAAAACAAGATGAGGACAGCCAAGTGACATGCCTCTTAAATTTTTTTTAGACCAGTTTTACATGAAAAACTTAAGTTCAACTTTCAGAACAATGTTGTCAAAATTATCAGCAAGACAGCTGTACAAAGAGGCAAACCAGCTATGCTGGCAACTAAAGCTAAGAGCAATTGCTTTCAACTCGCTCCAGATTAAGCATGCCACAACTAGGGATGTAGTGTGTGACTACTTGTATATAACAAATATCTACCAGTGGTTCTTGGTCTCATTAGACTTGAGGCTGGGAACTCAGAGAGACCACACAACAGATCAGTGTTCTTAATGCTATGGATTCCTATATGAAATCTGTGGTGAATCATGTTTTCACACCTCAACACTGTGGCACCCTGGGGCATTCTTGAAAGGATCTCAGGGCACCCTGGTTGAGAATCATTGCCATATGTGAAGCTGATCAAATCCTATATTTAGCGACTTTTTTTGCCTGACCCTAGCACCTTGCTAGCCTCACTTCATCCTCAATACACTGTGGTGGGTGTTCAGTGCAAAACAATGCTGCTTTACAGCAGATGTTGTAAGAAATTGATTGATTGTAACTTGCCCCTGATAATGCTGTTTTAGGTATACGAAAGTGCTTACCCTAATTATTTTTGTTGGATTATGAGGATGAATATAAAACTAGCAATGTGGTGGTCTTTTTTTTCCAAAAAAAAAAATAATAATAATTTTAGAACAGAAGTCTTATATTTGACTCATCTGTGAAAGTGCTACAACATCTGTTTTGAGTAGAAAAATTTATCTTGGATGAAACTAGAACTGGAAAAATCTAAGGCCAGGTTGGGGATTCAGAAAATGAACAAATTTTAACACACTATAAAATATTTAATGCCAAAGTAGGTGAAAGAGCCAACTTCTGAATTGGAGTTTTGAAGAATAAAGTGTAAAATGTAGTGAAACTTTTTCTGTTTTACTTTTTGTAGGTTACATTTATTTAAGAATATTGCAGGCGGGACTTTCTTTAAACATAACATGGTTTGGGTTTTTTTAAAATAAATCTGTAGCTGTCACTTTCACTAAACATTGTATTTGACTTTCTCAGTGCATGTAGAATATGATACAAGAAGAATTTGATTTCTTTAAGTCGTACCTAATACCTATACGGAACTTTTGTATTGTCATTTGGCAATTTAAAAAAAAATTCTACGTAGACATGGATACACATTTAAAAACATAATTTATATAACCTTTAATAATGTCTGTGTTCCAAAGTAGACCAGCCTTTTAGCAAACCTTTGAAAGACATTTGTTCAAAATTCAGTTGAAACCATGATGGTTTAAATTGGTGTAAGCCAATAGTTTTAAAACCACAGTAGTTGAAACTGTCCAACCCCACATGGAAATGCTAAGGTACAAAGAACATTAAGATGAAGTTGCTGCCTTATGCCAAAGCTTACTTGATCCAAATCAACCTTGGATTACTCTGAGCTTTCCTCATTAAGCGGCTTTTTATATTATGCATGCCTGATAGCTAGAATTGCAAAGGTTGTGCCCACTCTTTCACCCATTCCATTACTTTCTCATAATAAAAGACTACTTTGGGTGGTAGAAATGATGTTTGGTAGCATGCTAAGTACCTTTTCATTTACCTAGGGGAGAAAATTAGTGTTTTTTGATTTAAGAGTTGTCATCTCCTTCTGTGGGGAAAGAGGTACCAGAATCTGTTCCAAAAATATGTCCAGTAATTTGAAAGCCCTATCATTTGGCAGTTACATATTTTATACATATGAAGCAAACCAGTTGTTTGTACAAACCAAATACAGTAAATTAAGGTCTCAAGCAACAAATTGGGAAGACTTGGCAGCAGTTAGTTGGCCTTTGCCCTGTAGTGGAATCCAAATGAAATCTGGTTATCACAAAAGTCAATACCCCCAAGTCGGAATGAAAAGTTGGTTTAATTGGGACCCTAACTTGGAGTTAAGGTTGTTCTTCTGTAATTCTCTTCCTTCAGCTAAAGTGTTGCAACAGAAAAATACTGTGGCGTTACTCTTCTTGTTTTTACCATTGCTGAAACTTTTCCAATCTGAAAAACAACTCAGAGTAGGAACAAAGCAGTTTATACTACTTGGCTCTTTCAAAAGAAGGATGGGTCGGTTTGGTGGTTTGTTGGTTGTTTTTTGGGTTTGTTTTTAAGGATACTACTAGAACCACTGCAGATGGAGTGTTCTCCAAGTATAGCATATCTTGGATTAAACTGATGAAGAAAACTGTAGAAAGCCTTTATAGGCAAAGCTTTTAAAGACTTGATGTTATCTTGGTGGCTTAGTTTGTAGAGAAGAACCTGTAACAATAAAATTTAGTTGACCCTAGGGGAAACGATTTGCACAACCTGTTGTTCAGCATTAGTTGGGGAAGCTGGATATCATGTAGGGGTAACTACTTAAGAAAACATCCAGTTTTTAATACATTCCTTCCTTGTAGGGCTGAAATCCAGTGGCAGTGGAAATCTAACAATATTACAATTTTAATAGTGGCTAGTTGTAGCAAAGAGGAACATAATGGGGGTGGATGGCAGCCCTGTGTCCTGACTTGTCACTCTATTTATGTGCTCCAGCACTGGAAAAAGAAATACCTTCTGTTCAGTCCCTCCTAGTGTAAACAAATGCTGTACTGTGCAAAAGGAAGTAAGGAAACTTTAGGTCTTTCACATGTACTGCAAACACGGAGGTCAAAGAGGTACTTTTCAGTCTTGTTGTCAGCTGAAAAGTCTGTGGAAGCAGCCTGTTGTGATGAATCCATATCATCTACATACAGTTGCTTTCTTATAGGTAAATGTTTTTTTTGTTTTCTTACAGAGAGAAAACAGCCCTTCTTAATTCTTGATCAGCTGGCTATAACATAACATCTCATCACCATGGCAGAAATGTCTCCAGAGGAAATTCAGATGAGGGCCAACCAGGTCACTGATGAGGTAAATGACTTACCAAGACTCTTTTAGTAATGATTTGTAATCTCTAGATCAGTAAGAGGAGTTTCAAAAAGAGCGGGCAGGGCAAAATCAAATATCCTAAACTCGCATCTTACCTGGTTTGGAAATTTTAGCTGCTATGACCAAAATATTTCTTAAACAGGTGCCTGAAGCTGGGCTCCTAAGTTGCCTCTAGGAATCTGCCTGACTTTAAAGAAATAAAAGAGCAAAGCCCCCAACAGCTGTCACAAGGGTGAAAAATGGCTCAGCACTCATGCTGGTAAATTAAGCTGGTTCCTAAAGATAAAATTTTAAAAGCCTGGATTTTGAAAGCATTTGTTTTTGAAAATCTTGGTTTAGCTGTAGTGTAATCTTCATCGACTTGCCCCAAAATGCAGCTCTATTATTGCAGAATGTGACAGTAATCAATGCTGTCTCTGACCTTAGCAAGTACTAAGAAATGAGCTTGACTCATGGAAAAGAATTTGAAATCATTATAATCCTGACAGGTTTTCTTAAAGTTGCTTCTCACGTTGGCGAAGTTATTGAAAGTTGGTGCACTTGACTATTAAGTTGTAGTGAACTGTTTTAACGTTTGAATAATTTGTTAATCGTCTTACAACATGAGCTTGACCAAATGAAATTTTCTTTCTTTCTAGTCTTTGGAAAGCACAAGAAGGATTCTTGGCTTGGCTGTTGAGGTAAGAAAATTCTCAAATTTACTCTAGAAAAATGAGGTTTTCCTTGGATTAATGGTGTATTTGGAGAAAATGTTTGTGCCCAAAAGCTTAAAGCATCATTTGGGTAATTTTATGCAAAAACAAGCTTATGGGCCACATGAAACATTTGAAGTTTATGAGCTTGTTTCTTCCTCCTCATCGAATCCATACAAAGTAACAGTAGTTTGAGAGAGACTTCATTAGTAGATATGTAACAACTTGGATATGGAGAAGAGAAAGCTCTATATACCATCTATTTCTCAGCATAGGTTTCTTGTATGACTAAGAGGCTGAAGAGATTAACTTCCCCAGTAGCAGACTTCCTGTTCTGCAAAGTAGTTTGCTCTCTAGAATATTGTGGATTGTAAGGTATAGGCAGCTCCCTGTTTTGGCTGGGTGGATCTCATGTGAATGATCATTGTAGTTGATGCATACCGTTCCTTTTGTTTCTAACTGCACTGAAGTAGTTTGCTGCTTTGTGGACAGATTTTTTTTTTTAAGAGGAAAGAGTAGATTGCAAGAACAGTTGAGTAGTTAGTTCTAGGCATAGCTTTTCCCATACTTTTGGGTTGTCTGGGTTTTGTTTTGTGTATCTTTTTTTTTGTTTTTGTTTTTTAATATTTAAAAAAAAAAAAAGCTTTTTTTCCTCTGTACTGGCAGGCATAGAACTGACTAGGCAGGGTGACAATGACAGAATACTCAGTCACTTGTTCAAAGCAGACTGGAAAAACGGGTATCTTGGGTGCAAAATTTTGGATTCATAGTAAGTTTTTCTTTCCATTCTGAGATGATGGGGAGACCTAAAACAATAAAGACTTGAAGCTTTTTCTTGCCCTTGTGGTTGAGAGGAGCTTTAAAGATGACTCTTCACTATGAGGACCTGAGCTGAGGTTCAGGAGACGATACAAAATGGGGACCTATGTTGGCAGCCTCTTGCTGCCAGACTTCGCAGGAAAGGAGAAAGAAAGGCTGGCACCAGTTACACTAACATAAATCAGAAGAAGATGTTGAGTACTAGAATCTGGTACTGATACCAGGCTTCTTCTGCACTTGTAGTTCAAAGTTCCTTTAAAAAATGCCTTTTTAAGCAATTATCAGAAACCCAAATCTTCACTGTCATAGCATGTTTTAGCCTAATAAGCCCATGCTAAGCTATGGTTACTTATAATTATGTGGCCTTAATGCCCACTTTTAGACACTGATCCCTTCAGACACTGATTTCTCCAGTGCCAGGACTGTTCTTGAGTTATCTGGCTGTAAAACTGAAAAGAGGATGACTGATCCTTCAAACAGCTGATGCAGAGTCCAGAGACTGAACTTAGATTGGGCAGTTCTCTTGCAGCAAAATTTAATTTTTCTTTTTCTGGTCTTGGTGAAGGCCTCAAATGTTAAGCAGTGGTGGAAAGTGAAGGTTATGGGGGTAGAATAGGCTAAAACCAACTTTCTAAACACAGTGTATCCATGTTTCACACTTTTAAAAAGAGTGAATCGGTGTGTCTAAGAGAAGAGGTGAGGGAGGGCAGATCAAGTTCCCCATGGTAAGGGAGGGAGTGGGGCTGGGGCTGCACAGCCAGGGCAGGGCACAGGATAGTTGTGGTGGCTCATCCGGAGATGGAGGGAAGGGGGGTGGCTCCCTGCTGCTGCATACACCCTGCGGAGGAGACATGGTGGGGGAGAGCTCAGATTTGTGCACAGAGTGAGGACAGACTGTGGGCTTGGGACTACACCAACTTCTTCGTGGTTTGGGGAGGGCTGGGCCAGGACAGTGCCAGGAGGAGGGGTTATGGGGTGGGCTACATCCACCCCAGAATTCACCATAGCCCCCCTCCCAGCCCCCACCCCCACTAGGAAGGAGCTGGTACAGCCCCTGGGCCTGAGTCCACAGTGGGTAGCCCACCCTCACCCTGTGCACAAATCCATGGGGCCCCCATGCTGCCTGTGGGGGTGCACAATGGCAGGAGTGCCCCCCCACTTCCCTGCCCTGCCCACTCCCTCCAACACCATCAAGGCCTTGATCTGCCCCCACCATGCTGTTCCTCGCCTACAGGCTTACCAGTCGGATGCTGCTCTCCAAGCTGCTGGACTGCATATCGGCTATCAGATTGGAATTGATCATTATGTCTGGTTAATAATCAGCCATTGGTATCGTCCAAAAAATTCTTTATCAGTGCATCACTGCTTTCAGCTCAAGACTTCTAAAACGCTGCACAAATATTTGAAGAGGGCTGGTAATAGCAATGCCATTTCCACCAAAATTACAGCGTTGTCACTGCAAAAATGCACAGATTTAGAGGTGATTATTTGTCAAGTGTGCATCTCTCATGGAGGTGATGTAATTCTTCAGTATCAGCTTCTATAATCCAGTGTTCTGCTGTAGTTCAAAGATGGATTGCATTTTTTTCACTGGCACTAGAGTGTTTTTTACTTTGTACTTTAAAATAGATTCTCTTTACAGTCCCAGGATGTAGGAGTCAAGACTATCACCATGCTGGATGAACAAGGAGGTGAGTTCTTGGATACAAAGTGGAATTGTGAATATGGAGTCTTGCATGGCTTGCAAAAATTGGTACTAATGTTTGTATGGTGTTCACATCTATCAGCTTTTGGCTTCCTTAATTCTAATTAATATAGAAAGGCAAGTAGGATATTCCTGTGTTTTTGCTTTTGGTTTAAAGTTAGCCAGGGACAACAGCAGGTTGTCCAGCCAAATAATGGTGGTGTGATGTATCCTTTCTGAGAACAGGAATTTCATGCAACTCTTAAAGTAAACACAATGACAAAAATACTATGCCATGAGGGGGGAAGACCTTTAAGCAAGGAATTCTAGAAACCTGCAAGCAGCATCTGTTGTGACATGCCACTAGCACTTAACCTTTCAGAGAAGTGCATTTTTTGCGGGGGGAAGTGTTAGTGTGCAAATATATCTAGCAGTTAGATTTCTCCAGTGTCTAATCTCCTCAAACTTTGTCTCTTTTCTTTTAGAAAAGCTAAATCGTATAGAAGAAGGCATGGACCAGATAAACAAGGACATGAGAGAAGCTGAGAAGACTTTGACAGAACTCAATAAGTGTTGTGGTCTTTGTATCTGTCCTTGTAAAAGGTCAGTTGGTTCATATTTGGGTGCAAGTTCTAGGATCCTACAAAAAATACCCTATTGGGGAAAGTCAACGCTAGTAGTTATAATTCCCTAGAGGCATCTGATACTTATGAATAGCTTGCTGAAAAAGTACTCTTAGCATACTAGTAGCTAAAACATGCCTGTAGTAGCCATTTGTTATCTTGACTTTTGGATGATGGGCATTAATGTATTTGTATAGCATCTTGCACAACGGAATGCTAATCTGCTTTAAGCATTAAAGCACTATAAACATTTAAGACCCAAGACCATATAAAATTTTTTTTATTTTCCCTCCCTGTTGCTAGTAACTTTGCATTGGAAGGTGGCATTTAAAAACCATTCCCTCTCCAAAATATTTCTCCACTGCAGGCACTGAAGCCCCCCCTCCCCATCTTCCTAAGTGGGGGTGGAATAAAAGTCTAGCATGTAATAGAAATTGCATGTTATACACTGCAGTGGGAGTGAAGAAAGGAAAAGAGGAATAGGCTTTGGTCTATTGGTTTTAATCTTTCTCCAGTTTAATTTGTAGTACTTCATTTGTTCATCAGTGTTGCTACCAACCTATTAGAAAGTGTCAGGTAATAAAAGACTTTTTCTGAAATTGGCTAAATGGCACTTCTGTCATTTGCTTAAACATTCTACAGCAAAAAGTGAGGTGAAGAGCAGAGCATTGCTGACTCTAGATAGGTTAATTGGTATTTAAAAATGTGTAATTGAGTTGAAACTATACAAAGAAAGTAGTGGTAGGGGAAAGAAAAAATTATCATGCATATTCTTCCAGTGAACTTGTGTATACAATCTTCATTCTCATGATAAAAGCCAAAAGAAGCCTGATATGAAAGTTTCTGAATTGTGAATTGGGTGGATTAACTCTAAGTTAAAATACCTCAAGATAGCATTACGATCTGAATGAGCACAGGCTGTTGTGACCATTCTAGATTAAGATGGAAAACTATTTCCAGTTCTGAAAGTTCACCTTATTATGTAAATCTGAAATCAATAGCTCTGGCCTGTAGTTTAGGTCAAAGTTGTTGTCTCAAAATATGATTTCACTTGGTTATCTTCCTTCTCGGCAGATTTCTAGGTTTCACACACATTGCAGTCATAGGCAATGAGCTGGCATCTTTTCACTGACATCCTCTGTTAAATACTATCTCATGCTGTGTTTAAGGCATTTTTGTAGCAGTTCCAAGTATATTAATTCTGTAAGATGACTGACTTAATGAAGTGCCTTAGCTTTTGGTATGTGTGGTGAGAAATGGATTAAACACAGGAAGATAAAAAGCTATCAGCTCTTCAAATCTACTTGGTACAGGCTTTTCATCCCAAGTTCCACTGAGTGATATATTTTTACACAGATATGCATCACTGGAAATAACTTCTCTTTTTCTCCTTCCCTCACTTGAATTAAAACTGCTTTATAAATAACTTTTTTTGTTTTTGTTTTTGTTCCCTTTCAACATGGGACCTTAGCTGTACTCTGAAAAATCTGTGTCACTAACCACTGTTTGCTTGTTTGGTCTTTACTGTCTCTTTTCTCATTCTCTCCTAACACCTTCACTTGCTTTCTAAAAATGAAGACTAAGTACCAGAAGCTGGATTCGATTAACTGGTGAAAGTGGATTTTAAGACAAGGGCACCCTGTACTCTTAACCAGCTGTCTAAGGTGATGTTCTAATTGGATGTACACTTGCATGTGCATGCTGTATGCATGCAAGAAGCCTTGTGTCTGCTTTTGTGTTGTAATATTGATGTTTGTTTTATAAACAAGAATATATGCTAGGGAATGGGTTAGTCATAGCAGCCTGTTAACCCTGATCCAGCTGCCTCAACCTGGGCTGTAAATGCCAGAGCTTTACTGTGTCACTGCAGATCTTGAGCATATTGGTTTTCTTCAGTAACTATAGTAGCATTTTTAAAGGTTGTTATTTGTTAACCACAGACTTGCTCCCTCTCAAGTTCCTTCAACGACCACAGTAAGTTTGGAGAAGAAGCTACTTTTTTCTGTCGGCCCCACAAATCAAGGAAAATGGTTCCTGGACTCTTGAATGATCTGAGAGAGACTCTACCCTTCTGAACCCTATGCCATCCCACTGAAGAACTAAAATGTTAATTATCCCTTTATCTAATACATGCACATGCGCGCATATATGTGCACCCCCATGCAGAAGTGAGTTTCTGCTTGTATGAATAGGAATTAATGGATGTGTCTTACAGTGAATCTGAGTACAAAAAGGGATCAGATTTGTAGTAGGACTGCATCTTAATTTGAAGGTAGTTACAGTTGCTGTGTTTTTTATTTAAGTATCTTTCCACTGTTTCTGTTGAAGATACTTGGTTCTATTAAGGGCTTGTTTTTTTTATACAGTTAGACAGTTTCTGAACATCATAACTTACTCTGTGATCTGAGAGTAGTAAATAACTTAAGTCCATCCTGTTTGACATGGGCATCTCCTTGATTCTGCAAGTCATTTAAGTTTTATGATAGGAGAAGTTGTGAAATGGAGTTCTTCAGTTGGACCAGATTTGGATTCCCAAGTTTGCTTCTTGAAAAAAGATTTTTTTGATCATTCTGACTTGTTCAGGGTCATAGCCAATGCGAAATAGTTTTTTGCTGCTTTGCTCATCTGCAGTCCTAACATTACTACAGCAAACAGCAGTTAAAATCTGAGGGAGAGGGTTTTTTTGGTTGGTTATTTTTTTGTTGTCCGTGTCTCCCCCCCCCCCCCC